CTCCAGAGAGTCTTCACATTCACAGCTGCAATTCCCAGCGCAGCCGCCGAGGATGCCGGTTTGCTCCGGATCGTGGGAAGAGCATCACCAGATGGCTGCCCGGAGCTCCAGCCTGCCAAGGCCTCCTGCTCTTTCCCTCCCTTTTCCCTTCACCTCACGCACAGCAGGAAATGCCAGTTTTACAGTTGTTTAGGAAATAGGTAGGACACAGTAATCGGTTTCATTTTATTAAAAAACTTGCAATAAAATTCCTTGGAATTCACAATCTTACCTTTGATAGTTGCAATATTTTACTAGTACATAATAACACAGTTCTCACGTATTTACATTATAATCCTCTATTTAACAAAAATAGCCATGTTGTACTACTGAATGCTTCCAAATGTTAGCCGTAACATTTCAGTACTTTCTCCAGCTGAGTCACTGTCCATGCTCTTCAGCATTTACAGTATAGAACAAAGCAAGAAGAAGAAAAAAAAACAAGTGTGTGCCTTAGGATTTCAGGCAAATCCCTTTACGATGGCGGTTCTCTGACTCCCATGTTTTCCAAGAGAGATAAAGTGCTTTGGAGGGGAGGATGTATACATGACAAAACATGAGCCAGGAGTTGAAGGACGTTCACAATACTGTACAGAAAACAATGCCAGAAGAAAAGGCTGGCTCCGCAGGCTGCCGCTGCACCGTCTTGGCAGCAAACGCACCAGTAGCAGGAAAACAAACAGACAAACAAACTCCCCTACGTGCCAGGTCGCCCCGCGCGCTGTTGATGCAGGTGCTGCTGTCCGGGTGTTCAGCCCCGGGAGCAGCCGGCTGAAGGCGGGGGACGATTCCGCACTCCGAGTGCCTCGGCCYGCGGAACCCGGAGCCCCCGGCAGGGCTCCGCTCGCGGCGCCCCTGSAGCAGCCCCAACCCCGGCGCCGCTTGCTCCCGACTGGAGACCATTCCCGTAAGCCGTCCCGTATTCCCGTTCACAAAATAACAAGCACAAAATAGCACTTTGCTCCTCTTCTTCTTCCCTTTTCGAAAACAGCACTCGCTGGAGGGGCTCTGCCGCGTGTGGGAAGAGCCAGCCCTGGGACCCGGAGGGCTCCGGCTCTGCTCACGAGCTGCGTAYGAATCGGGTGCTGCCCTTTTTTGGTTGGCTTATAAACTACTTGGAACAAAAATAATTCTCCTCTGGAAATGGATGGAATGCTTATTTCTCACAAGTACAAAATCATGTAAAATGTTTCCTAAATACAAGGACCGTCTTGCTATAAAAATTACAGACCCTCCCGCGCTGCCCCCGCCTTTACATTTCTAATTACAAAATGGCACAGGCTTTTTGGGTTCCTCAACATGAGACAAGAAGTCAGGACGGTGGTGTGTGCACATACAAAACATTTAGATAGTTGACATCTTAATAACTGCATACATTCAGAGCAACAAAGCTTCCTTCTGTCTTGTTTAACACTATACAGGACTAAAAAATGAGAAAGTAAACAAACAAAAAAAAAAGGTGAAAACACTATTTTTTTTACATTTTTATTTTCTTTTTTCAGCATTCACTGCAGTAAGAAGCAACTTTCCCCAACTCGCATGTACTGTAGTTTGGAGAGTTGAGACTGACTTCAGGTGGCATGTCTGCCCGCTGGCTTTTCCCTCAAAATGCACAACACATTTACCTTTCTCGTTTGCTTGCCTCTTTTATTCCCTCCATCTCTGAACTGCATCTCAGGCTCAGGACTCTTCCGTGTTTGTGTTCAGACCAGTGCCCAAGGGAGCGTGCGGAGGCCGCGCGTGCAGCAGAGGGCACTCGTGTCCCTCGCGCTCCGACCCGCCTGGTACAAGCAAATCCCAGGCCAGGGCCCCGCTGCCGCTCTCCTCCCCACACCAGAGCCGCCAGCCAGCCCAGGAAAAGGCTCCTTGGAATAACGGCAGTGCCTGCATGTGCTGTGTCCATTGCTCCATTGAGAAAAGCACCCTAACAGCCCGATTTTGCCCTAAAATACCCCTGTATGCTCTTTCCCATCACTGCCCTCACCAGGGCTGCTCCCAGCGCGTGCTCCAACAGCCTGTGCCTACAAAACCGGTGGGCTGATGCCCAGTGCTGCCCGCCAAGGAGCCACCTGCCCCGGGCCATTCGGAGCTGCTTATGGGGCACTAGGGCCCCCCATCTGCTCCATACCCGGGCCCGGTTTTATTGAGCCTGGAGGCTGAATGGCACCGTGGGCCGAAGATCATTCTGCTTTTTCCTAGCAGATCGGTAACCTTGGCATCTACAAAACCAAAAAAATGGTAGAAACAAACAGGCAAAGCAAGCAAACATAAAACTCCATTATTGCTGATGAAATAGAAATCAAAAAATGACTACTGGCTTGCACAGCCTGCTAGGTCGTATTCTTAGCTCAAGAAGGGGCTCATTGATTTGYGAAGCACCTCAAGTTCCTGAGGCAATTCACAGGTTTCTCAGAAAAAAAAAAATCATCAGCCAGGTTCTGCTTTAGGAAAACCCTTCCATTTGACACCGGAGCTTAAATACATTCATATAAGACCCATTGAAAATGATGTGATTCGGGTACAAGCCCAAAATCAGATAAAAGTGCTTTTGTGAACATGGACGGATTTAAACGTTTACTTAAGTTCAAGCTTCAGGGATGCATCACCTGGCCTTGCACTGGTTACTCCTGAGCAGGAAAGACATGGAAAAACCTGCTGCGTGCAGTGTGGAAGAGGCAAGGAGGAGGAGCGCGGAGCCAGGCTTGCCGGCTGACCTGCGCAATGACCCAACTCACCTGCACCCTCTCACAGCCCCTCGCACGAGCGTGGAYGTGGCGTGCTTGGTCGTGCTGCGGTGACTCCACCACAGCAACAGGTAATGGTCAGCCGAGCCACTGAGAKAAATGTAATAAAGTTTGTGAAATARAGAGAGGACTGGGCAACACTTCCTCTGGAGCAGGAGCGGTACTTGGCAGGGCCAGGATTTAGCTTGTTGCTGCTGAGCCGCAGAGGGATGTCAGAGCATTGCAGGTAGCTCYACCAGGTAGCTCCTATGAACCACTGAAATCCCGCTTCAGCATTATTTCCAGGGCTCAGATGGAGCTAATGTGGTTCCTTGGGCTAACTCTCTGCATAGGGTGAATTTCACCATCAGTAACCCTGACACAGAGGGCCTTTCACACAGCAACAGGGAATAGGGAGGACATTAAAGAATATGAAAAAAAAAGAATGTTTATAAAAGCACAAATATTGGCAAGAGTGAGCAAGGGCAGGCACGCAGCCTGGAACTATCTCTAACTTCCTTTTCAAACCAAACAGATCTCTGCCTGCCTGCATCTCTTCARTTAAAAGACATGACATTTTTAAAGTGCATTTCTGGATCACTGTTTTGAAATCTTAGGAGCTTGGGCTCTTTTGTTTCAAGGTTAGCCTGAAGTTTAGGGAGTAGGGAAAAATCAACAAAAAAACAGAACAAAAAAACCCAAAAGCTTAGATCTAACTGGACCATGAAGCACGGAGTAAGTTTTTTCCTTCTTCCTGGAACTGAGAAACAAACCACCAAAGACTTTAGGGATGCTAGTGAACACATTTGTTCCTGAATAAGATCTGACAGGCAAATTTTGGCTGGAACTTCATTTCCACAGGTAACATGTAAACCACAAGGAGATTAAATGGAGCATGAACCCTATATACCCTCAATATTTGCATTTTGAGTTGCTGCTGTGACACAACTAAATGAAAATATTTAAACTCTCCGTGAAATGTTGAGGCAAGGTGAATTGTTGATTCTCCCGACCTACTCAGGAGGCTGCAATGTGATTTAATCCATCTGACTCTCAACAGAAACCATTTACTCTTGTGTAAACTAAAGTTTCTGACTGAAAAATGAAACTGTGCACTAAAGTGACAAAATAAGCTTTGCTCTGGACAACATAATTCAGGTTGGACTAAATAATAATTATAAATCATTAGTATTTAGATGCTTTATGTTACTTCTGTTTGTTTACAAATTTGCTCTCCCATTTTTTTTGCTATCCATAGTTCTATCTAAATTGCAAGTAACCTGCTATGCTTGTGATAACATTAACAGAGATTCTGGAGGCAAGGAACTGCTTTGGTTCCTTTGAAAGAGGAATCCAGGYTTTGGATTCCTGTATTTGATAATAAACAGGCAAAACTGCATTTAAATAATTAGAAGTGAAATCTATCAAGAAAAGTAAAAGAAGTAAACATTCACGCAGCTGCCTCTTGCTTCATTAGCAACTTCTGACACCACTGTTGGCATCTCCAAACCCTTTCTCAGAGTACTTCTGTCACCCACATAATGAGCAGCTGCTAACAAGCACCCCTTGGAAACCTCTCGGACACTCCTTTGGCCTACTGGCCACATTTTGGTCTGCAAAATTAAGAAAACACAGAATGTTACAGGAGATCTTCTTTTCCGGCTATTGAATTGGGACCTGAAGGAAGGCCATTAATGTACTGACAACTGCTAATAGCCCAAAATAGAGCACAGGATTACAAGGACACGGTAAAGCTTAATGCTCTTCTTTCGCTCCCTCATACGGTACCAAACCTATTTTGAATAGAACTCTAYGTCAAAGCAACATAATGCAGTTTAAACAAACACTCAGCGATCTCTGTTAATTCAGAGCTCTCTTGCAAATAAAAGCTTTCAGAATACATGATTTCCAAGGCCTCGTTTAACAAAAGCAGGATTCAATTTAACACAGGGCGCTGAAGCACTACCTTTSTGAAGCCACGTACACATCACGCAGAAATGCCAAGGCAATAATAAAACCTGGATTCAGATCATGAAGTGACCAGTGGAGGGGAACTGACTTTYTTGGACTGAGCTCTTGAAAAAGCTGGGGTCAGTCAACAAAAATATAGCGTCCATCCATAACAAATAAACATACATAGGTCTTAAAAAAACAAAACAAAACAAAACCATCGACCAAATGTAGAAAACACTCAAGCTGTCATTTCAGTTGTGCACTTATGAGCCACTGAAGAGCTGCATGACTGCTCTCAAGCACATGGGTAACCGGGAAGCTCTCACCTTCCACGTGAGTCTAATGGACATGTGCAGATGACGAACCTGCCACCAGGCAGACACAACTGTTGCTATTGCTTTTCGTGACCGTCTCAGAATGGAGCGTGCTGGAGTGACAGTGCTCTGGAGGCGTGTGCATGACTGGTCCAAACCCTACCAAGGCGACTCGGTCCCTCCCTGTGGCCCTCCCCTGGCGTCTCGTGCCGGGTTTCTGTGTGGATCTCAAGACTTCACCTCTTCGCAGTCTTGATCGGTGGACAGCTCCACGTCCGACAGTCCAACCTCCATTGCCATAATCAATGAAATATCTGAATCACTGCTGACTGCTGGCTCCTGTTCATCTGTGAGGGTTGAAAAGACAGGAAAAGGGCATTAGGTCTTTCTGTCAATGCATTATTATTATTATTGTTGTTGTTATTATTATTATTATTATTATTATTATTATTAAACTCCGCAGATGGACCTAAAGGCAGATCCAGGCTTCTCCATCGCAACAAAGTTGTATTTCTGAGTTTTGCTGTTGTTCAATATCATTCTAAGCAACACTTTCATCTCTTGTTCAGTGGCTTTTGGGCCCCTCACTTCAAGAAAGGCAAGGAAGCTGGTGAAGGGGCTGGAGCACAGACCGTACAAGGAGCTGCTGAGGGAGCTGGGGGCATCCAGGCTGGAGAAGAGGAGGCCCAGGGGAGACCTTATYGCTCTCTACAGCTGCCTGAAAGGAGGCTGCAGTGAGGCGGGGGTCGATACCTTCTCCAGAATAACTACAGAYGGAACAAGAGGAAACGGCCTCAAGTTGTGCCAGGTTAGACAYTGGGAAGAATTTCTGCATGGAAAGAGTGGTGGAACATTGGAACAGGCTGCCTCAGGACTTAAGCCTAGACTATTTGCCTTCTCAGGTCCATTTCAGACCTGATTTCTCTTCAATCTTTACTTTCATTTTCAAATACCTTGTAGGTTCCTGATCCAGGACCAACAAATCTACCTTAATCCTGTATGATCACAAGTACATTAAGAGTCAGATTAACAGCATTCACCCAACTGCAAATCCCAGCAAAACCAGTGCGAGAGAAATAACAGATTTTTGGTTAACCTTACAGCCCACACTACACACGTATTTGGCAGAAGGCAAATTATTATAAAGGCCTGAAAGCTGATTTTATTTCAAGAACAATCCAGAGAAACAAAGTGCACTGGCTCTCTGGGAAGSTCCTCAAAGGTGCAAAGATCCCACAGGTGGCTGAGTCCCAGACAGAGTCCAGAACTTGATGGCTCATATGCTCAAGTGGTTTAATTATAATAATGACATTTCTATTGTAAAAATACACCATATTTATATCTGTGGCAGATTTCCTTTACATAATTTCTTTCTTCCAGACAATAGAAGATGCTGAAAAGTCTGAAAGTTGAGTACCTAAGAAACAATAAGAAACATTTCAGAAAAGCCAGGAAAATAACTCCTCACAGTTTAATTATTCACTTGAAGCTAAATGAGCACAATTAGTCTCCTCTCAAGAGATATGGTTTTATAATTGTTTTTACAGAAAAGTGCGTATTTACTTGTACTGTAAGTGCTGACTGGACCTCACGTTCTGGAGAGGAAGCTTCAGTGGGCTCTGTATTATTCATGCTGCAAGAGCCAACGTGTTCCTTTAAAACCCTACACAGTTTTCACCCTGTTATTTTTGCACTTTCTTGATTGCAAGCTAAATAATTAACACACACAACCTCTTTAGATCTGCATATAGATATATTTTTTTCCTATCAATATCACAAGTAGTCAAAAGTTTCTAGGCATTGCTCCCGACGAGCAGTGCTTCTCCTGGAGGTGAAGTACTTGATGACTGAAGGAAATACAACACAGACCTTTCCGTGGGCTGCAGTTACATTGAACTGTTGGGTGAATGGTCCAATCCAAGAGTGCTAAAGTGAACACCCACACCTCTGAGATCCAGAACGTCACCTCCAGGGTTATCTGCTCCCTGAGCCAGAAAACTGTGGTTCCAGACTACCAGATTATCAATCAGCCCCCTGTACTGAATACAGTTTTTAGAAACAATGGTAACGGTTACTTGAATGGTGACCTAAGAGCAAGTTTACAAAGTTTACATTCTCATTTGAGAGTTCCCAGGACTTAGCCATGTTAAACAGCACTTTTAAGAGAAAGCTCCTTTAATCTGAACTGCGCAGGGAAGAGCGACAGGCTGAGCTGTGTGGGGTAGGCAGAGTTGCACTGAACCGGCAGGCTGGGCTGCCAATACCAAATGTCACAGTGTCAAGGGAGACGTGTTAAAGGGCTGAATGTCATTTCAAGAATTATTGCCTCTTTCGGGGCTGCACAGCGGAAAAAAATCTCTACTGAATTCAAAATAGAGAGAGAGAACGGAAAGAGCTGCTCAACTACCAACTTTCTGGGCCTTTTATGGACAGAAGCACCTGAAATCTTTCCAAATCAGTGAACTTCACTTTTTTACATTAAAAGAATCCTTGGATTTCACTCTTCCCAAACTGCAGCCTTGTTGTCTTTGGGATGAAGGGCAGGTCAATAAGAACAATGCACAAAGGAGCCTCAAAAGCCCGTCCCTGCTGACATTGCCTCCATGGGGCTGCCCAGGAGCCTAGCACCGCGGACACCCCCTTCTCCCTGCTTGCTGCCCAGGTTCCGGGCGGCTCTTCCAGCAGCTCCGCTCGCCGGCACCGCTCCCGCGGGACCAGCGCCGCCGCCGGCTGCAGGACTGTTCGCTATTCACCACTTCTGACACTTGTTCTTCCCCCAAGTTTTGAGTGATTCTGTGCTTTCCTTAAAAGCCCTGAGGTCAGGTGAAGATCCCAATTTTCAGTGAAGACCTCGGCTTTCACAGAAAAACAGAAATCCTAAGATACAAAAAGAAAATAAGAGATTTTTTTTCTTTAAACCTTCTAATTCCTAGAAAAGCTTTATTATGGAATAAAGGACTTGTGGTTTCGGATGCCTCAGATTGACAGCTCTGGCTGACAACACGCATTACGATACTTCCACTGCAAATTACAGTGTTTTATGCCACAGGCATGCTGCTTAATGAAGCAAAATGCATTTCCCAGGCTTTATCCTGAGTGCTAGTGCCTGCAGCAGGCAACTGCAGACCTCACTGCCACCATCCTCTCACATCAGTGAGAGAAACACTGCACACCACAGACAGACAGCCTTTTTCCTCCCACTGTTACTGTCTGACACACATTTGCTTGAGAAAGGTGCAAAAACTCAAAGGCTTTCTCTAGCTGATGTTACCTGAAACTTAACTGCACTAATGCATGGAGAATTTGACCAGGGAAACATGGAAGYGCCCTATGTAACAGCGGTGCCATCCTTACCTGTTGCAATATCCACTAAGTAACTTAAATATAATTGTAGTCATAAAAGAATTCAAGTGATTACTTAATCACTTTGGTGCTTTAAAAATGGTAAGACTGCACACCAGTACTGGTTACACATTACTACTGCCGATAGCCCTACTACTTTGAATATCTCGGACACTAATAAATATTCCAAAATAAAAAACAGGTTTCTAAGAATCTGATACTCTTGGCATAAAGAGCAGCCAGGGGAAAAACAGAAAAGCCTATTTACAAAAATGTTTATGTCTCATGCGCAGGTAAAAAATTGCAGTGATGTGGTCAAGGATGAGGAACAAGCTCATATAACTACAACTGCACTGGGTTTGACCAACAGGAAAGTAAGAATACTGGCAATGCAGTAAAAACTTCTCAGCATTACAAGGAAACGGGGATTTTGCTCAGGACGGCGAGTCAGGGAGCAAGAAGAAGGTGTTGCGGTGCTGCTGGCTTGTGTGTCATCTGTTTGACTGGCTATACAAGGCTGGGCGTGTACAATCAGAAACAGGTCTTGCTTTGTCCTCCGATAATTTATTTCATCAGTCCTTGATGGTGGTTGATGCCTGTCTTCGAGGAGAAATGTCTAGAACCCTCTGTTTTTATTTGTAAGGTCGGTGCTGAAAATAGGACAACCTCCAGTGAGGCAAAGTATGTTTCRAGTCTCTTCCCACTGAAAAAAAGACATCAGTGATATAGAAACAAAGTCCCTTTCTTGGAGCAACTTACCTTATTTCTGCTGTGCAGCGCTGGCTCAGAGGCAGGTCACACACAGCCGTGGTGCACAGACAACACTGACACGCACAAGAGCCCACGTCCAGCTCCCAAGAGACAACTCTACCCAAGAACATCCTTTACYGTGACAGATTTACCGCTCCCTGCCACACGTGGCAGGGCTGCACTAAACCCGAGCTTAGAGCAACCCTGCCRCAGCAGCACTTTGCTGCTTGTATCTGAGAACAAGAGCACAGTCCCCTCTCGGAAAGYCCATTCATCAAACAGTGACTCCTTCCACAACAGTGCCTATCAAACTGATCCCCAGGACCTTCTTTAAAAAGGTTGCAGAGGATTAGAATTATTCTCAAATGAACCCTCCAGTAATTCATATCAGCTCCTTGTAGAAATACAGCCCCCAAAGCTTTCTATATCATCTTGATAATCCTAACACTTCAGAACAGGGCATACTGCAGTAACAAAACAACTGAAATAAAATGCATTGAGAAAATGCCTATAAAATCTGTAATTCCAAAGAACCACTGGAAATACATTTGAGGAGAAGGTGTTATAAAAAACTGTTATTCACACAGCCCTTTTGTGCCCCAGGGCTAACAAAATGGATGAAGTCTGCCTGGCAGCAACCGAGAACAAAGTACTGGGAAATATTTTCTCCTTCTTCTCTTGCACCAGAGAGTGATCTCTTTTAGCTGGAGGGGAAAAAGGACTTGGCGAGGAACGTGCTTGTGAAAGGAAAGGGTAGCATCTTTTTCATAAAGGACAAGTCAGAGCCCGGTGAATGTATTAGCAGCAACGGGCCCTCATCCAGGGGCTCAGGCAGCCAGGCAACGTCTGGAACGGGGCTGTCACAAAGGACACCCAAACACTGGCAAGCCAGAAAGTGCCGAGCGCCGGGACCTGACCACATTCCCTCACAGCAACATCACAACAATGTCTTTAACTGGACTGAATCTCCCTGAAACCAAGAGACTTGAAAGATGGCTCTGGTGATGATGTAACACTTAGGAGACACTCCCCAAGCAATCATGGTTTTCTTCTTAACTGAGTGACAACAAACATTTTTCCCTTACTCTTTCTTTAGGAGATGTACTTTAGGAGATCATAGAGCATCCCTTTATGAAGTCAAACAAAGACATAGTCTCCCATCTTCAAACATCTTACAGTCCTTRCAATCTCTTTAGAGGGGAGCTGCTGAGCTAGAGAGACGTGACTAAGCAAAGCATTCACCCACTGAGGGCCC